GATTCTTCATTTTCAAAGTTCAAAGGGAACATTGAAAATTTACAAGAAATAGGAAATATCTTAAACTTTGGAGCGTAGCACTTAGCTTGGTATCGTTTTCCAAAAATTAATTAAATTAAATTTTTGGAAAACGATACCAATTACCAGGTCTCACCACGTGGAGGTGGCTACGCATCGAGACCCGACATGCGCCCTAATGGCGCAGCCAGCTGGCGCTAGCTGTATCAAAGGTACCCTAATCTAACTTGGAGCGAATGAAGTTAAAGTGACTCTAATGACACTTTATTTTATTTCGTGTCTTACAAAGGGAACTTCGATTCGGTATACTGAAACTCTACTGTCGCAACGCTAAGATATTTTCCAGTTCCCATAAAAATAGGGAATGAAATATCAAACACGCGAGCAAATAGAAAATCGCGACGCGCCCGAACGAGATCGCGATTATTCGAAAGACCGACTAGCCTAGGCGATGTACTCCTGTGTACAAAGATAACTTCATACCTCGGCACCCTCCCGATCGGGCCTAGTTCAATTCCAGTCACTGTCGCACTCGTCAAGACTTACACGTGGACCAAGGATAGTCCCTGAACCAATGAAACTTCTAGTGTCAACGCGAGGGCCCTGCTGGGCGGTTGCCGGCCAAGACAGACACTTCGCATCCCAGCCACACGGGGTAGAACTTAATCATCCCTGTGGTCTAACCGTAGATGGTACTAGTCCGTCAGCCAGCATGTGCCCGAGCCCCAGTCGCGTACGACTTAGGCAGCGGACCGCCCCGTCGAGGTCAGAAGACGCACTGATCCGAGGGGGTCACCCTGGAACCCGATGCATGACGAGATTGACAGTGACTGGAAATGAGTGTCGGAGACGAGTCGTGAGGATGACTTACGAAGCATGTACTTATCGAGTACACGAGAGCACGTCGCGTAGGCTAGTCGGTACTTACGAACGATCGCGATTATCGCGAGAACAATTATGTTCTATTTGCTAAACGAGGGGGATAAGAAAATGATAGAGAATTTATAAATTTCGCTCCAAATTAGGTAGCTTACCTTTGTACAGATAGCGCGCACATGATCTTATGATTACTTAAAAGTAAACGCACGCATCGTTCATTGATGTGTCGCAAATGAAGTCTTAAGGAAACTTCAGAATCTTGAGAAACCTAAAAGCTGTAACAGAATATATTATTGTTAATATGTAGCTGAAAGGAAAGGGATTAATACGAGGAAACCGTCAAGGCTAATAACCAAATGGAACGAGCAAGCCAACGACGAGACCTGAGCAACATAACTACGAGACAGAAACATTCCAACGGTGAGATATAAACATACCAACGAGGAAGCGCTCGAGTATTATACGAAATACTCGAACGCTCTAACGAAAACAAATCGAACGGAAGTCGTAAAATTTGTGAAAGGAAAGATTTAGCCAACAATGAGACATAAGTAAATCAACGACGAAGCATTCGAATATTGTACGAAATACTCGAATGCTGAAACAAAGAGAAATAGAATGAAAGAAATAAAATCTGGAAAAACAAAAATAATTAGAACCTGAAAGAATAAATTATTGTTAAATTATTTAAGAGAGTGGACAATGGTAACTGAATAGCCATTGATCTAGCCAACGATGATATACAAATAAATCAACGACGAAGCATTCGAATATTGTACGAAATACTCGATTGCTGAAACAAAGTCAAATAGAATGAAAGAAATAAAATCTGGAAGAAGAAAGATAATTAAAACCTGAAACAAAAAGAAGGAATATTAACGCGGACCTTCCGACGTCGAACCGACAACTGGCTCGAGCCTTCACGCGGGCCCCTTATATAGCGGCGGCCGGCCGAAGATCCGCGAAAATTTCCGAACCTTACCGATTTCATTAAAAGTTCCTTTTCCGCTGTAATAAGTAATAATTTATTAACTTTTTTGACTTTTATCGTTAATATACTTTGCAAACTATTTCTTATCAACAATTTTAATTTCTTATTATCAATAAATTTAATGATTTATTAACTTTTTGTAAGTTATGGATATATTTTAGTACAAATACATTGCTTGCTTAAGTGGTAGCTAATAATTTATTAACTTTTTTTACTTTTATCGTTAATATACGTCGCAAAATATTTGTTATTGACAATAAATGTAGTAATTTATTAACTTTTTGCTAATTATAGATACATTTTCTCGCAAATACGTTATATATACTAATAATAGCCTACAATTTAGTAATTTTTCCACTATTATTAAAAATTTTCCGTTGTGGCCAATTTGTTATTAAAAATAAGTGCAATAATTTTTAGATTTTTGCAAATTTTACGTTCATTTATACATTGGTATGATATTTTTCAAGTGATAACCAATGATTTATTAATTCTTTTACTTTTATTATAAATTTACGCTGTTAACAATTTGTTATTAATAAGAAATTTGATTATTTATACATTTGTATGAACTATAACTGTATTTGGTTGACGTCATTGACAAAAATTCCTTATCTCTCACAGCCTCAAGAATCGTCGAATGTACAATCGAAGTATCGAAAGCTTACAAGAGGTAGAATATAGCTTAAGCTTTGTGCGTAGCTCTTAGCTTGGTATCGTTTTGCAAAGAAAAATTTTTGGGAAAGGATACCAATTATCAGGTCTCATCACGAGGAGGTGACTACGCATCGAGACCTAGACATGCGCCCTAGCGGCGCAACCTACTGGTGCTACCTGTTTCAAAGATACCCTAGCCTAACTTGGAGCAATTTAATTTAATGTGACTCTACTGACACTTTGTTTTATTTCGTGTCTTACAAAGGGGATTTCGATTCGGTATACTAAAACTCTACTGTCACGACGCTAAGATATTTTCAAGTTCCAATAGAAGTTTTCAAATAGAAAATTGCGACGTGCCCGAACGAGTTCGCCCACATTCGAAAGACAGACTAGCCTACGAGACGTACTCCCGTGTACAAGACAAGTCCGGGCCTCAGCACCCTCCCGATCGGACCTTGTCCACCCTGCCACTGCCGACCTCGCCATGGCTTACTCGATGATCTAAGGCAACCAACGAACCAGGGAAACAGTCAGAGTTAATCCGAGAGTCCTATGCGAGGCCTAACAGTCGGAATCACGCGCATGCTCCATACCCAGGCTCTATGCAAGCATAACCACATGGCCGCCAAGTGCAACAGGGCAGGCAGGCACGCTCTTGCAATGATTCCGACTGCAGGGCCCTTCCCCCGGTCGTGTGCACAGATTGGCACCCAGGTCAACGGACCCGCGTATTGATTCAGATGCCTTCCCAGCCCCAGAGCCACCAGAGATCCCGATGCATGACGAGATTGACAGCGCAGAATGAGTGTCGGAGACGAGCCGTGAGAATGACTTAACGAGACGTGGAGTTGTCGAGTACACGCGAAGTACGTCGCATAGGCTAGTCGGTACTTAAGAACAATCGCGATTATCGCGAGAACAATTATGTTCTATTTGATAACGAGAAGGATAGGGGAATATATATATTCGTTCCAAGTTAGGTGGCTTACCTTTGAACGGATAGCGCGCACATGACACTTAGTCTACGGATCTATCTTATCCTCCTTATAATTACTTAGATCTAAACGCACGCATCCCTCGCCGTCCAACGATGTCTTCCGATGAAATCTTGAAAAACTTAAAATCTACCTTATTGATACTTAAGTCTACATAGATGTAATCGCACGCATCCCGCGTCGCTCTATTATGTCTTGAAAAACCTGAAAAGCTGAAAAGAAACAGATTAGTACAAGATTAGCACAACACAATAAAGCAAATATAAACAAACAAAATAAACATAAACCATAAATATCAATTAAATGGAATGAACAATCCAACGATGTGACATGAAGAACCCAACGATGAGATATGAACATCCCAACGATGAGACATAAGCAACCCAACGACAAAGTATTCGAATATTGTACGAAATATTCGAATGCATCAATAAAAATAAATAAATTGAAAATATAAAATCTGAAACGACAAAAGTAATTAAAACCTTAAAAGAAATTATTAAATTATTTCGAAAGATGGAGTGTGGGTAGAGTGGACAGTGGCTATCGACTAGCCATTGACTAACCCAATGATAAGACATAAACAACCCAATGATGAGACATAAACAAACCAACGACGAAACATTCAAATATTATACGAAATATTCGTATGTTCAAATATAAATAAATATAAACGAAAAATAATATCTGAAATAAAAAAAATAATTAAAACCTGAAAAAAAATATAATTATCACCTGAAAGGAAAAAAATATTATTAAATTATTTAATAGGGTGAGGTGAGATTAGGGTAGCCAGCCCCAATCTCACTTCGCACCCCACACCCTTTTCACGTATTTGGAAATTAAGACACGTCACTTCCGGAGTCGAACTCACAAATGAATTTTGTTGCGTTGCGTCATTCCTTATATAGCCACTGATCGGCCGAGTCCCCACCCTGACCGGAAATTTTTGAACTTTACCGATTCCATTATTTATAATTTTTCCCCTTTAATATCTAATAATTTATTAATTTTTTCACTTTTATTATAAATATATGTTGCAATCAATTTGTTAATCTATGGACGGGACTCGAACCCCGGATCTTCAGCATAGGAATTTTTGAATGTCTCCGTTTCTTGTACTGCATGACGAAATTTACAATACTGCAAAGTTTCAAATAAAGCGATGACTCGAAGGAATTGCACTCTGCTTGTTAGTACGTGCAATAGCTTAATTTAAGTAGCGATTCAATTTTTTCTTTCTTTTCGATTTCTGCTATACATTGATCACTTTAAATAGCATGTATGACGACATAAAAAAATAATTTTCTAATAATCTATCGTATTTTGTAATCTTCGTATTCTTTGTGAATGATTAACAATATAACTTATACAGTATTATAATTATCATTTACAAATTTCAAAATATATAATATAATACAATATTTTATTTTGGAAATTGATTTGTTATTCAAAATATGAGTTCAGAATATATTTTAAAAAATTATCTACTATCTCCACTTATCATGGCAGAATTAAAAGTAATTAAAGAAAAGTTAAAAGAAGATATAATTCGGGCTGATCCTTTATGGCAAATTGTAACTAAAAAGGTTAGTATTATCATTAGTATAATAAAAAGTTCATGTTAAAGTTAAATAATATTAAAGTTTGTATTATTTCGTTTAGAAAGAAGAAACAACATGTGTAACTGAAAATGAAGTTTTGAACGAGAGTAATGAAGATTGCAACCATGCTTTGTCCATGACACCAGATCAGACTTTAACTACTCAATTTTATTTTACACAGCATATTAAATGCTTTAATAAAAATATTAAAGAAGAATACATATCAAAGCTTGATATCATAGAGTGTCTTTTTGAAGAACTGGAATGTTCTAATGGAAAATTAGATTTAAATCAGTTAGAAAATTTAACAGATGTAGAACTTGTGGAAATAGTCAGTGATTTAGAAAAGAAATTAAGTGTATTAGGTACATGTAATCTATGTTGTTCTATAAATAATATGACATTGGAACAACGAATTAAATATGCAGAAATCTTCCATACTCATTTAATATTGCCAAAGGTGAAGATTAGACTGATACATTAATAATAGATCTATGAAAACTTAATCTTTTTGTTTAAACTTTTATGTAGGTACAGCTAATAATTTTAGAATGTTATTACAGATTATTGCTTTAGAAGAACCATCTAGATTACTCCTATCAGTTTTAATAGAATGCGTTAAAAAATTTCCAGATGATATTCAGAAATTAATTTTTATTCCCCTATTAAATATTAATTTAACAGATACAACAATAATTGATGGTATAGTAAATGCTTTTGAACCTGAGAGATATAATGTTCTCATTATGTAGGTATTAACTTTACTATTGATTAATTGAACTTTGAAAGAAACCATGTTCAAGTGAAAAATTATTATTTTTATAGGGAATATTTATCAAATGTAAAAGAACTTAAATCATGGCATTTTTCTTTCTTACATACCTTAATTGCCACTAAAACTGATACTAATATAAATGATAAATTAATACAACTATTATCTGAGAAAGCAGTTGATTTTGCAAAGGATAAAAACTTTGGAAAGCTCATATTATCATTTATAAAATCAAATATTAAATTCTCAAATGAGCAAAAACATTCACTATGGGATATAGCTAATATTAATCAAACATTATTTAAAAGACCTATTCAAAATATATTAAAAACTATGTAACTTGCACAAACATTGTAAATAAGATATTACGAAAAACTCGATTACGTGTATGAAAAGTTTTATTCTTTACAAAAATATACCTGTTTTCCGATCTGATAGTTAGAAATAAAAGAAATACAAAATTAAAATAACGCGTGCGCATAAGAATTGACACTTGATGTAGGTACGAGTACCACAAACATGACAGAAGAACTTTCTGGTGTAACAATAGTGATATTTATTGCGGTTGGCGTATTAACGATATTACTGTTGTTCATATTCGCAAAACGACAAATCATGAGATTTGCCTTACGATCACGGCGTGGTCCTCATATCCCCATCGGACACGATGCACGAAAAGTATGAAGAATTTTAAAGGTTAACTTACTTATATATAATTACACTTACTATTCACATTTAAAATTAACAATATTCATTTCAACGTGAAAATGACATAAAAACACATTTTAATTACGTTATTCAATTATTTATAATTTCCAATACGTATATATGTACATATGTATATTAAAACATAGTGTACTTTCAATTGTTTAGTCTCTGAAAAAGGAGATTGAAAGACGAATAGAAGTAATACCAAGAATTCAATATGAGCCACAACTTATTAGTGATCCAAGACTTATTTTAACATCTCGAGGACCAGGAGTTCCACCACATTATTATAGATTAAAAGCAGTAGACGATATTAAAACTTTAGGTAATTATAATTATAAATGCATTATGGTAAATAGAACTTCTAAGTTCATTTCAATTTTTAATCTGTTTTTATAGAAACTGAAATTACTAAATATGACAATTGTTTAAAAAGACATCCCTCTGAAAATTTACGAGTCTATTTACTTGCTATATTAGCAACTCCATTAAATGGAAGTGGACAACGATTAATTCATCAATTCTGCGATCTATATGAACATGCACGACATGATCCAACTGAGTTTGGAGATGAGGAATACCAAGTATACACTCGTTTATTTCTTAAGTTAATGGATGCGTAAGTGTAATTTTTAAATTGTAAAAAAATTTGAAGTTATAGCATATTGTATTACAATACAATGGATAAATTATTATTCTTTTAATGATTTCATAGAGCTCGCTTGTTAAAATCATATCCAAGCAGCAGAAAATCTAGTCCAAGTCGTACACCTATAAAGAAAAACATTGAAACGAAACGGAATATATTAGAGCCTAAGATGAAACCACCTGAAGATCAAACATTAACTGGATCACGACCAAACACCTTAACAGTGATGATGCTGGATAATAGTGAAACATCTGTTTAGCATTATGAAAGTCGCCACATACAACATATGTGACGAAATATTTGTTCATAATTATTAATCTTTATATTGCATGGAATTACAAGTAAGTAAAATATATTTCTAATTATTCTTTTAATAATATTCTGCAAAATGTGCTTCTCTTTTTAATTTTGTATCTTAAATTTGCAGTTATTACAAACGAAGTTTTTGCAATAAAAGTTGTTTCTGTCTAATATGTATCAGCTTGCAATCAAATGTCGATATCTGTATAAATCGATAAATATTTAGTCCATACACCTTTGTAATATGAATTGTGTTTTAAACAAATTAATGCTTGATGAAATGTGGATTTATGTGTATTAGAAGCATTACTCGTTCTCATATAATTTAACCATTCCATCATCTGAAAGGTATAATATATTTAAAAGTTTGTTAATTCTCGAATAATAATGTGATTTTCGTTTGAGAAAAAATTATTAAATTACTAGATTATCATTTAGACGCAGGTGAATTGTACATAAATAAAAGTAGTTGTAAATACCTGTGGAATTGCATGCTTCCAATCTTCTCTATTGGAGAGAACTGTTAGGGCTTGAGGAAATAATTTTGATCTGACATTTTGCGATTTGATAACTAGATCTTGTTTCATTAATACAGAATCTATGCCAGACAAGCTAATGACAGAGACAAATAAAACATCACAATAGAATTGTACTTTGTCATTATGATTTTGCATTGATTCCATAAAAAATCCCTGAACCTGTATCATAAGATTCAGAATCCAATTTGGACTACAACTCTCGAATTGCATATTTATCTGTACTTTTTGCATAATTTCGAGAAAGTATTTTTTCACGCTTAAAAATAAATATTAAAAAATATTAAGATACATGTTTATTCGTATGTTCGATATATAAATAAAATTTCGGCAGAGACTAAGAATTTTACCTAGATGTAGAGGTGACAATTTCATCCATGATCTCGTTCAACCATATTAATGGAGACTGGGAACTGTGCTTCTTTAAAGTCAATTCGGCTCTGATCGCGATTGCATTTTTCAATTTACTGGCTACTATTTCCCACCACATTTTGGGAGATGTCATTCTTTCTAAATGTTCTATTGGTAATTCCGAAACTGCTGTAAAGTAAGAATAAAAACGATCGCATGTTAAATCTATCTTGTCTAAAAATTTTTCCAGCATAGTATAAAGGAGTGCAGAGTTAGTATGACATATTTCTGGATTTTTTAATGCCTGAGCATACGCGTTCATGATACAATGAAACGACTGTATCGAATCGTGATTATCGACATTTATTTTTTCAATTACATGTTCTAATGTAGATTCTAAAAATGGTTTAATAATATTTGGCTGTATAGCTTGACACAAGTCTCCGAGATTTGAATATAATACCGGGTGTTCATTATTTCTCCAAGTAAAATCTGCATCTTTTACAGATTTGTATGTTGATAAATAATTCTCTATAAAAAATTTAGCAAATGGAGATATTGTTGCCTGATGACATGCGATTGAGAGGGCATATTGCTTTGCTTCGAGCGAAATGTTGACAGCATCCGTCAGGAAATTCCAATTTGTATTGGGCAATGGTTTTGGATATTTATGTGCAAATATTCGTAAGCATTCTGTAATGATACGATGATTATTTGAATCCGATTTATCAGATCTCCTTAAATATTCACCAACCGCTCTGATTACACTTTTTTCTGGTAAATATTTAAAATTTTGCGGTTCTCCTTGAGGCCAAGCATAAATACCAGATCGGAAATTATTTATTTCTTCTGTTATGAAGGAAATTAAAAGATTCCCAGCTGCTGGTAAGGCAGCTGTATTTATATTTTGGAGCATTTGTATCCAACAACCACCAGGTATATATGAAAAAGCGTCTTCTGAATCGAGGACTGCATCGCTCGAAGTTTTCGCATATTCTGCTGGTAATACGAGATTACGTTTAAAGTTTGGTGGTAGTGTTTTCAGAGATAGTTGTTCTAGACGAAACGAAGCTAGTGCTTTAAGCGCGGAATTGATTACTTTTACATCGTTACACGACGTGCATTCCCACAATTTTGATACGATATTATCAATCAATTGATCATATTCTTTGAGGTAATCAGAGTGGGTATAGAGTGGAATATCGGCAAGTAACTCGCATAAGCTTTTTAAAACAATAGAACGCTTTTCCACTTTCATTTTCGGAGCTAGTACTCTCCATGTCGAATAAATATCTATTATTGATGCTTTGTAAAGAGCAGAAATACATCCAAGCGCAAGTGCACTCGCGGTCCCACCGTTTATACTTGTCGAACGATTTAATATCTGTGATAACAATGGGACCAACTTTTCTCCATGTTCAGGATTATTTTCGCAAATATATTTCATAGCTCTTGCACAGGTTGCGTCCGAATACCAAGTGGAATCACTTTTCATCATTTGAATTATTGCGGCAGAAATAAATCTGTAACACCTTGGTTCTTTTCTCAGTGCTTTAAGATACAACTCAATTATAAAATATTTCAATTGCTTGTCACCATTTAATAACATGTTCAATGTGTGATTAATGATTGGAACATTTTCTTTTGTAATCATAAGTTCAGGTACAGCAAGTAATAAATATTTTGATTCTATACTGCTTTTACATTTGGTTAATTTATGCAATATCAATGATAATACGTGCGATCCAAAATTGTTCATTTCTTTGCTGATATCAACAAGTGCGGTACAACACAATTGGACAACTTGTGTTTCATTTGATTGTAAAAAAAGTCCAGATATTAATAATTTACATTTGTCTTTTAAATAAATAGGTGCATGTGATATATATTTTAACCATAATAAAATATCATTCAGGTTCCAGATACTCAAGCAGTGCACTAACTCTGTATACAATTGAATGTATGGATCGGAATGAGTAAACACCGTGAAAAATCTGTTTGAGAATACCGTTTCATCATTACGTATGAATTTTGTTTCTGTCGAGACTTCGTTCATTAAATTTTTCGCCGTATTTAACGCATCGGAACATAATACGGATGGATATGCTATCCATTTTACAATAGATGCTATTAAAGTGTTGAAAAATATATCGTTGTAAGACATTTCTTTTCTTATCAACATACCTGTAATGTAACATATAGATAAACATTTAGAAAGGTCAATACAAATTGTAAATTGCTGCTATAGTTACAAATACTTACATATTTTCAAAATATCATGTAAATAAATAGCTGGACATAAAGTAACTATTTCTGCCATTAACGTTAACATAAGATTTCCTATATAGGTATCACAATATTCCATGATAAGAAGTATAATATCAAAATTTGGTCTTGGATCAGAATCCTGTTTTAGTAATTGTATAATCAAAGATGCAATCATTGGCAATAAAGCTGTACAATATTCTCTATTCTTCTCTAATGCTGCTTTTTCTGCAAGTTCTAAAATTCTATAATTCGTATTCATGCAAGAATGGGTCTCTGCAGTGCACAGCCAAAGTAAAATTTCTGTCTGCAAATATGTATTATGCTTTGATTTAATCAATAATTGCCAAACTTGTTGCATATAGTAATCCATAGAATTCAATGAAGGATTACATAAAATATATAAAAATACTGGACGTAATATCTTGGCACTATTTTCCTTAACTCTGAAATGTGAAAATATCTATAATATATTCATGTAAACGTACGCCCGTCTATATGTATAAATATAAAAATGTGCATAACTATAATATACACGCATCATGTACGTTAAAGCACGTACACAACATTTATCTATACATTCATATACATACCGGGGATCTTGATGATTCATAATAAAAGTCATTTGATTTAATACAGTTTGGCAACTCTGGTTGTCTTGAGTTAAGATAATTATGAAAGGATGCTGTGGTGTATGTAACGTAAACAAAGTTTCATTCTCCATACCACGTTTTAAATCCAATATTAATAAATGAGTTATGGTTGTAGTAATAACTACATAATTTCTAAAATGTGTAACACATTTATAATATTATAACAGGAAGATATAACGAGTATCATAGATTAAATTGATTGTTATACTTTATAGAAGAGATACTCGAAATGAATGTAGATAACGCATCATTTAGGTCCCATAATCCATTTTCGACTAGAGCAATTAAAGCTTGACAAACGGATATGCTGAGTGTGACATTCGTACTGTTTCGCTTTGTCCATAATAACTTAAATTCGGCTACCTGTTTAAATGAAATTAATAGAAGATTAGATTAATAGAACAGAACAAAAGGTAAAAATAAAGACGATTTCATAGTAATGGAATGAATGGAACGTTTACCTTCGAAATATGGTCCGTTTGTCGGTCGCATTTCTTTTTCTTAATAGATTCGAAAAGTTTAGATACTGCCTGTAGGAAAACATGTTGAAATAGCACCATGGCAAACATAAATGCTTGACTGTATGAAAAACGAATAACTCACGTGTGATATTAAGACAGGATTTGTCGATTCTAATTTATATTCTATCTCGTTCATTTTGTAGAAGTAGTATACCAAAATTTGTCTTATACATTAATTGCATGTGTCCTTGTTCTTAAATAATACGTATGATAAAAATCATATTTCATTATGTCGAAAAAGCTTAACTTGTCGCGAGAGTACAATGTGAAGTATTTAGATTACAAAATATAACCTTACACCGTTAAAATGTATTCTTACTTGTAACGATACGGGAGGGGATGCGCGCGCATTTTGTGTGCTTTGTTGCGCGCGCGCGCGTGTGTGTGTGTGTATATATTTATATGAAATGTATACGAATGTTTTTACTTATCGTTTGTCATAAAGTGTATGAAAATAAGACTAACGTATTTGCACGAAGAACATATATTGAAAGAAATTTGTAAAAGTCAAGATTTTCTGTTAGCGATTAAGGATTATCATCATACGAAACGATTGACGTGCACATTTCAATGCGTATACCATCATTGCTAGTCCACACAGGGGTTCTCAAATTAAAGACATAATTCTGTTTGGATATTTGCATAAATTGTACACATAAATACATAAAATCGTACAAAGATCGTTTAATAGGAAGATATATGGTACTGTAGCAATGATTTATAACATACGTAGCTAAAATGATCATAATAGAATAGAAGGAAACAACGAGAAAGAAAATGGTATAAAAATTCGTTGGTGATAAGGGGGAACTTTGAAAAGACGCGATCTCGTTAAAGGTCACGGTGCCGATCGAGGATACTGTAAAGTAAGATTTTTTCAATATATTTATTCGTATGGACAAGTTGGAGCATAGTGCACAATATAATTAATATATAGTAGTCTGAGGAAGGGGTCAGAGTACATTCTGGAGTTTGAACACAATATCTTACAATTTAACGACAAGATGCCTGCATTTCTGTATTTGCTTCTGTACGTATTGTTACTCGTATATTCATATATTCGAAGTGTATAATATATAAAGCGTAACGACTCACTATTTTTATCATTCTAAAAAAATGAAGACAAGAATACGGGTCCTTGTTTATTACGTTACGTTAATATTTCAGTCCGCCTTATGTTGTCATTTAATTTATTCGTTTGAGGATTTTCGCAATGAGGATTATGCAACATCGTGGCAAATACGTAGTACTCGCTAGTATATATCCTTAGTCGGAGATTGTCTCCAATTGCTAATTACATTTGTATCTCGTTTACGTTAAGAGGAAGTTACGTTCGACATCGATGCAGTGCCAAACCGATGGTAATGTATGTGTGCGTGTGTGTAATGTGCGCGCGTGTACGTGAATGCAGCGCGCGCGCGTGTGTGTGTGTGTGTGTGTGTAGGAGATCGAGACGATAACCGAACGTAGGAAGGAACCGGTTGAAACGAAAAAATAGGATAAAAGTTTGGATTTAAAACGTTATCGTTCGTCGTAATACGTGGTAAATTTATTGCCTGCAAAAAGGGGGTTTTTCGCCAGTACGATTTGAGTGGACAACGCAAGAATCGCTACACGAGGAATTTGCGATACGCGAACGTATAGTATTTGACCATTGGAGACAGCTCCTTCTTTTCGCGCAAATAGCGATTAACAATCTATAATAAACGTTTGTTTAAAAGCAAATACACTTTACAGCCTATACAATCCATACAAGTTGGTTTTCCATCCCTCTTGTTCACTTACTTTTTTTTTTTTTTTCTCTTACTTTTTCCACTTAATTTTTCTCCTTTAATATTTTCTACTCGAATTTACGTTTGTGGAGAGCGCAGGGCAGGTCCAGGTACTTAGGCTATCTGTATATTTTCATAAAAATTCGTCAAGATCTTCGGCTTCTCCTTACTATGATTCGCGTGTCGCTCTTCTCTGTTTTTTTCTTTTTATTTTTTATAAAAATCACAGCACAGCACCAGCATTTTTACTTTAAAGCCCGCCCGATTCTCCTTCGAACGCGCCTCATTAAAACTGAGACGACGATTCCCCGCGCATTTCTCCGCCATTTTCATACGTACTCTTATTCCACGTATTCTCTCCCTCTCCCTCCCTTCCCCTCTCACTCACTCTCTCACTCTCTCTCACATACGCACATGCACACACACGACACTACACATGCTCATGCACTCATTCTCGCTCTTTTTCCTTCGCTCATTCTGCCAAACGAATATCGCCGTTGTTATGTCGAATTAAAAAAACACGCCTTGCTCTCTTTTATTTTATTTGGCATTTGCAACACTACGCACAGCACGATAAAACTATTTTCGGATTCTTGGCAACGCGTTTTACCAATCGTTTGTACAACGCTTTTATCTCTTTTACCGACGGTACAATAATAAAATAATAGAACCGATAATGAATAATCGTAATAAAAGGTACAATAATAATCGTCACTGAACTAACGTTAGGTAGCCGCCAGGATACTATGCGCGTACGTATCACCGTGGCGCATATGTATGTGTATACGTATATTTACTTAATAGCTTTCTCCTTTTCTCGTTAATTAGTCTTATTCGTCTTGCTCATTAGGTCTCTCTCTCTCTCTCTCTCTCTCTCTCTCTCTCTCTCTCTCTCTCCCTCTTGCTTTCTTCCTTTTTCTCTTCACCTCTCTCTTACACGCCGACGCACGCGCACACTCATACCCATAACCATACCCATACCCATACGCACACGCTCTCGTTCTCGTTCTATCGTATTCGCGCAAATCTAACTACTATTATTTTTAGTAAACAAATAGCATTCTAGCGTATTCAATGTACAATCACTTATCGTCACGTTATCGTTATTTAGAATTATCGTGATTTTTTTTTTACGCTTATACTCCCCTATCCGACACGTATTTCGTTCGTGTTTATTTGATATTGTAACCGATATTCACATACTTTTTAATCGGTAGGTAATCAAATCGTTTAAAAAACGTGTCGTTCGCGAGTCACGTAATTTCTCTAGAAAAATCGTCGAGTCTGTGGTTTATCAATCTTCTTCTTTTTACAATAAAATACAACGATCTATAATTCCACCGTTATACACAAAGTTCTAGATCGAACATTCGTACGTACGCGTTATACACAACGAGTTACGGAAAATATGCGACGCAGACATATGCGTACAAGCACGCGCAGAAAAGTTTCCGTTTCTCATTCGCACATTCGCATCTCTATATAGTTTACTAAGTGCAATAAAAATGTTGCCTCAACGCGAATCGACGCGGCTCGAGGCACACGCTTCCTCGCTTTTTTTCGGAGAAAAATCGGGCAATTGGTTCGCGACACGACCGTATCAGCTTTCTTCGTCGTTCCTATGTGTACGAAGTGTACCAGTCAATTTTGCGGCCATTCTCAGCACAGTTAGTCTAACGCAACGAGATCTTGCCGCGCGCACGCTTCCCTCGAGTTTCGCACACTCTCTCCTCTTTCATTTCTTTCTTTCCTAGAGTTTATCGGTTTTTCGGGAACGTTTCTCCACTGATTCACCATCAGTCGATCAGATTTCGGAGGTGAAAGCACTTGGAACCGAATGTTTTCTCAAACTTCGAGTTCATCGGTGCACGCAATGCGTCGAATGGTCGCGAGTCGCGTTCTTTTCGCGTGATTCTCTTTCCTCCGTCACCGTTCATCGTAGCTCGCGCGAACAAAAGACATCGCACCAAACTTTCTCTACTTTCGATACTTTTATCCTAGTATGTCGTTATGTCGTTATGTCGTTACGTCGCGTCTGCATCACTGTCATTGTCGCCCTCATCGTCGCTGTCATCGATGCCGTCATGTTCGAAAACAGATGCGAGGATCACTACTGATTCAACGGCCAATATCATCGAGAAAACGATTGTATCGCGCGCACGCGCGCGAATCTCGTACAAACGTCTCGTATAGCTATAGGTTTTTTCGTTTAAAATGGAAGAATAAGGGTACGCGATCGTGAATTTTTCTCGCGTTTACATCTATCATATTTTCGAGATGAAATTTTGTCCAAATTTTCGCATAAATTGTGCGTAAAATCTGATTTTTCTGCATTATTCTCGTGGCACGCACGAAAGCCAAGTACATAGTTTTGAGTGCGTCATAGAAACCGAAAAATTGCTCATCGATGCTAGTCGCAAAAGATTCAAAGACGAATAGGGAAAAGACGCTGTAATTTCGGTTCAGCCAGTCATTTCGGTGTTCGGTTCGATCAACTTTCGAACAAGTCGCAGTAGGTCCCGAATGGATCTACTTAGTACCCTGAGGAAACCAACAGGGATCGCGTTAGGGTCGACGCGTCGTGATACGGTCTTCTTTCTCCTCTGAGCACCAAGTACGTTCGAAACGAAACAAAACGAATCGAAACGAAATAGCGATTTGGAAGGCGTGCGCGCTTTTCCACGAGGACGACGAAGACAAAGAGGAGGTGTGGATGGACAGCATGTCGACAGCGCGTCATCGTCAGCATCAGCGACAGCAACCACAGTGACGAAGATCACCCGATCCGAAATTTTCGACAAAGGTGATGTCAGGTGGCGATGGGCGATAAGGTTGATGTCAGATGACAGGCCTTAATAGGAAGATATGCTGCTGCTGCTGCTGCTGCTGTTGCTGCTGTTGTTGTTGATGTTGCTGAAGCTGTTGCTGCTGCTGTTGGCGAGTTGGCAAGCCGATACAGGTTGGTAGACTCTCTGACGGAGTATCTGGTCGCGTTAACGAAGAAGAGGTAGCAGTCTCGAATTAGCAGTATTCTCAAGACGATCCTAAGGTTGCCTGCCAGCGGTGGCAGAGTGCGGATGTCCTGCGGCGGTCGCGCCGCTGACCGGTGGATGATGAGGCGTGTGATGATTTTGTGCGGAGGTGGGTCCGGTCGTTCCGGCAGCTAGTACGGGACCGGGGGCCGCGGGTCACTTGGGCGGGAATGGCGAGATCACCGATGCGGCTACCGCGGCGGCCTGCTGACTCGCCAGCATCGCCGCTGCAACACACACACACACAGATACCGAGGTCCATTAATTTCTTTCCTCTCGAAAAACGTCCGTCGACCGACCGACCGACCGACCGAACGTGATCCAGGATCAACCGAATCACGCGCCGCGGATAACGTACGAATTTGGCAGAATGAAATGATAATCGAATAGAAACGAATCTAGAAACGATTTCACCCTCGCTTTACGGTAACTTTAAACTTTTACCTCTTAACCCCTTTCACACTCGTTTTCACTTCTTTTTGCCCCTTCCTTTCATTTTCGATTTCTTTTCGTCCACGTGTTTCGCGGTCCTTGACCGGATGACGACGATGAAATTCGTATTGTGATAACGTTTTCGGTGATTTCGCGTCACTCCACAGCCCAAGTACAGCGAGCGAGCAATCACCGAAGAAAAATAGGTTAGGAAAATGAATATAGGAATACGCGAAAAGAAAGTAAGCGAAAGTGAGCATAAGAAAGGGCAGGGAACGAAAGAAGAAAACAGAACGGATGTGATATAGATGTATATAAAGAGAGACAGAGAGAAAGAGAGAGGAATGGCACGTTTCTTTTTGTCGGCGTTCAACGAACTTGACGCGCTTGGTTCGATCGTTTCCACGATGGTCACGGTTCTAGAGAGGAACGAATGCGAAGAAGGTTCTAACGAATGTGGGCAAAAAAAGAAAAAAGAAAAAAGAAAAAAGAAAAAAGAAAAAAGAAAAGAGAAAAAAGAAGAGAAGGAGAGAACGAAAGTACGTTGGTGCGAAAGGATCGGTTACTGTCGGTCAGTTCGCGCGCACCGCTTCGTTCTTCTTCGATGCTCGCAACGGGATTAAAATCGGTATAGGATTCAACGAAGCAGGTTGTTTCGAACATGGCCGATAGATTTTCGCAACGGATTACGCGTTTTCATCGGATACGCGCGGTCATTGATTATCACAGTCTGAGCTATACGTCCGTAACTACGTGTCCCGAGTATCTCGTGACTCGCGACGATTGAAGTAGCACGTGTCGTCGAGGAACGTCGTCGTGCTCGCTCGTTTGCCCCGGTCGTGCTCCAGCTAAACTATACGACGTTCGATTTACTCTCGTGCAAACCATTCAATTACTTATCCGCGTTTCGCGATAAACTAGTCGAACGCTAGTTGTATCCGATCGCGAAGCTCGTGAGATACATCGACGAACAAACATGCTAGAAATGGCTTTTCATCCCTCTTCGAACAATCAAGAGCGAGTCCATTTTTCCGTTCTTTCTTTCTACCTTTCTCTTCCTCCCTGTCGGATTGCTTGAATCGAAACGCGTTCGCATCTGTACGCACCGATATGGCGCGCTTCATTGTACGATCAGATTTCGAGCGATCTGACGCCGAGTTCCGGTTTACTCGCGCGAGAAATCGTTGGATCGCTCGATAGCCTAGTCTCCGAGCAGTGAAGTGAAAAGAAAGGATGATCGGGTGTTTAGGTGTACGTGTTTCCGAATGGTCGATTATCCAACGCAGGAGAAGCGAGAATCGAGGGTCGGGACAGGGCCGTGGTGATCGCGATCGTGGTCCAAGTCGTGATCGTGGTCATGGTCATGGTCGTGGTCGTGGTCATGGTTGTGGTCGTGGTCGTGGTTGTGGTCGTGGTCGTGGTCGTGGTCGTGGTCGTGGTCGTGGTCGACGGCGTTGACGACAGCGGCGGCGGTGACAGTGGTCGGTTCGGTTCGATTCGAACCGCGACTTATTGTCAGGGTCTGACGAGAGGCTTACCTCCGTAAGAGGCGGGATATTGTCCGGTCAAGAGGGGATAGCCTAGGCCAACGTGCGTGTGATGATGCGTATGCACGTGTCGCTGGGGCGGAGGTGATCTATTATCCTTGGTCAAGCTTCCGGTGCCAGCGTCGACCGGTGCTTGCTGCTGTTGCTGTGACTGTTGTCCTCCCGATTGACTCTGCTGTTTGCTTTGGGATTGCTGAGTCTGAGATTGCGGCGGACCCGGTCCAGCGACCGAACTAGGCGGTCCGCTCGGTGGTCGCGACGGCGTTGGGCCCGCGGACGACGGACTGGCCGAAGCTGCGGACGTTTTCGGGGTAGGTGACTTGAGCGCACGCTCCTGAAGTTCGTGTATCTTGTGCGCCGAATAATACTGATTGGCATGGTGTTGTAGCAGGTCGAGGGCCTTGCCACCGGGCGGTCTGCTCAAATCCTCCGGCGCGTGATACCTCGGCAATTGATGGAGATACGGATTACCGGAGTACGGTCCGGGAACCAGCATCGGGCTGAGTCCGCGATACACCGGATGACCAGGGTCGAATGGCAACGCGCCGTAATGCTGCGGCTGCATATAACCCGGATGAATATAGGCGTATTGCGAGGTGGGTGGCGGCGGTGGTCCTTGAGTTTCCATCGTTGGTTTCACGCCCTCTTGTTTGCTCTTCGAGTCCTCGTTTTTGCCCAAGTCTTGCGGTTTCTCCTGCTTCGGTTGATGCTTCGGACTCGGAGGTGGTGGCTTCGTCTGTTGACTCTGTTTGCTCGCCTCCTCTTTTCGTCTTTGATCGCCCGGGTAAAGGTAATACCTACGGTCGTCCTGCATCGGGCCTGGAGGTGGCGGCGGAGGTGCCGCCCTCTGACTCTGTCCGCTATGGTACACGTGATACGGACTCATCTGACTCTTCATCTCGATGCTCTCCTTCAGTATCTGATGGTTCTCGTGCTGCTTGTCCTTTAAGCTAGGCTGCTGTTGCTGCTGTTGCGACTGTGGCTCCTGCTTGATCTTTGCTTTCTGCTCGTGCATCTCTTGCTCCTGCACCTGCTGCTGTTGCTGCTGTTGCTGCTGCTGCTGCTGCTGCTGTGACACCGGCTGCGGCGGTTGATACGGATAACTTGGTGGCATGTAGCCGCCGTAACTGCCGTAATAGTGAGGCTGTTGCTGCGGCTGCGGCTGACGCTCTGCAGACTGGCCAACGACGGCATCTGCGGTATATTGAGCGGTTTCATCTCTTGCTTCGGAGTCAGGTCGCTCGGCTTCTGATCGACCGGTTTGCTCTCGGGAACGCTCGGAACGAGGTAGGGAGGTTGGCCGTAGTACGGGTACATGTTGAAATGAGCCGGTAAATGCGCGCTCGGAGCCGCTTTCCCGTCCTTCTCTTGGCTCTGCTTCGACTTGTCGGCTGGCTCGGCTTCGAGAACCGGTGCCGCGTCGTCGGATATATCCGAGTAGGCTGGACTCTGGACGTCTTCTCGCGCGGCGTCGACGATCGGTGTCTCCAACGGTGACGGATGCGGACTACCGCCCGGCGATTTTCTCGACTTCTTTTTGTATCCCTGAGGTTTCGACGACGTCCTCGGATCCTTATTCTTGTCTTGATCGGGCATCAGAGCCGCGGTCGGTTTAACCTTGAATTGCGGCATTTTTGCGTGCAACGACACGCTCTGATAGGGCTGCAAATGCGGTTGTACGCCTTGTCCCGGATGGCCGGGTTGCGAAGGAGGCGCGGCCTGCAATCCCGTCGCTTGCTGCGGTACTTGACCGCCCAGACCCTGAAGAGCCGGATGTTGACTCGCGATACCCTGCAATCCGGTCGGCTGTGGTTGTTGCTGTTGCTGTTGCTGCTGCTGCAATCCAGCTTGCTGTACCACGTGTGCCTGAGTCGGTTGGCCGAGTTGCGCCGATAAAGGATGCTGCACGGAGAGTTGATGAGCAGGGGGTAACTGCTGCTGTTGCTGCTGCTGAAGCGACGGCTGCAACTGTTGACTCGATTGAAGTTGCTGCGGCGGAGGCGGCGGCCCCTGCTGACCGGTTTGCAACGCTTGCTGACTTTGCAGATGGGGATTTTGTTGCGAGTGTTGCGACATTTGGGACGGTTGTGGCGGCTGAGGAATATTCAACGGAGCCGGAATGTTGGCGCTCGGGTGCGGCGACGGTACGGACCTCGGCGATTGACTGGCTCGAGGGCTCGGGCTCTGCGGAGACGTCGAGCCGCCCAACTGATTCGACTGACTCGATTGTTGCTGCTGTTGTTGCTGCTGCTGCACGGATTGCTGCTGCTGCTGCTGTTGTCTCGCAGAGGTCGGTATCGTCGACGGTGGCGCAGGTAAATCGTCTTGACCGAATCTCAGTACACCCGGTTTCACGATACTCTTACTTTCCCCGGCGTGCACGGAAACGGGTTGTTCTATACTCGGCGAGGCGACGCGCGGCGGAGGTGGCGGCGTCTCCGGCGGAAGTCCCGTCGTTTGCGGACTAGCTGGCCGGAGTGGCGTACCCTCGGGTTTGTCCGCTGGCGACTTGACCGGTGTCGCCGGACTCGGAGCCTCGATATTGCTCTCGTCGTTCTCGGACATGCTAGTGATACCTTCTTTGGTATCTTCGTCGTCGGCCGAGCCATGCGCGTGACTCTGGTGATACTTGAGCCCGTTTATGTGTTTGTACTTTTTGTTGCAATTTGGTTCCGGACACTCGAGCAATACAGGACTGGCCGGCGGTTAACCGCTCGGAGGTGTCGGCGGTGGAGCGCGTCTTTTGTTCTTGTCCTCCTCCTCGGGAGCTCGAGATTTCCGTTTCGCTCCTGGATCCGGTCGAGGTGGTACGAACGCCGCGGGACTCGGACTCGCCGCTGGGGAACCTTGCGCACCCCGACGACCTTTAGCGCCGCCGTTTCGCAATTTGCTGTGTACCGAACTCCTCGTTTCCGTGAAGTTGCTCAGGTCGTTACCCGGCGTTGCATTCGCCGCGGCTCTACCGCGTTTGCCCCGACCTTTTGGTGTCCTTGCGTCGAGGTCGCTGGTCGGCGAGTCGCAGAACCTAGGTGGCGCCCAATCGTGTCGAGTACAGTCTAACAACGTACCCACGTATGTCTTTCCTCGCCACGTCACGTTCACCACCAGTACACCTGCGAATAACGAGAACGCTAGGTTATCTCGGGATCCTTCGGATTCCGATACGCGGGCAACTCTAGGAACGAACATGGAAAAACTCACCTCCTTCCGTTTCGTGCCAAACGATGCCTTCGAGAGTGACCGATGTGCCGGGCTCGCAAGGTCCTAAACATTCCGGTTCGGTGATAGTCCCCACGCTGGTACCGACGCACACATCTGACATGTCCTGTAACGGCAACATCGTATTTAACGCTATATCGGTCTATCGATCGATCGATCGTTATCGACCGTTATACGCGCGAGATTGTTCTACCCGACGTAATCCTCGTGTAATCCCTGCCGACAACGCGAATTTCGCGGTTTTGCCCAAACGTTACGTCGCGACTGATCGATTTCGCAATTAACCCCTCTCGAACCCAGTGCACCGATGTTACGTAGTACATCGTTATCGATCCTTGGTCGTTGCCTATCTCTTCGCTTGTCGCTTCTTTTCCTTTCCTTAAAGAAATCTTTGCTCCATTTCTCTCGCGTTGGATTAACCTTTTCGAAAAATTTATCGGATTTATCGGATTTATACGCGTAGAACGCATCATCCGAGGCAACGTTTCTATCGAATATCGAAAAACGTAGAGATCGTCGCTTATCGCATACGCGAATTTCGAGCTATGCTATCGCAGATGTCACGGACCGAGTGCTTTTTCGAGTGCCTCTTCGAGTGTCGAAACGCGAGTCGTTTCCACAACGAGTACGAGCAATCATAGCGCGAGTCACGAAGAATCGTTCTTTTCACAAACGTACGAGACACGAAAGCAAACGTTGCAAACGTGGTAAATGTAACGACTATGCGTCGGTTTGTTTCGTATCTTGGCGAGATAAATCGCGATTGAAACAAACGAACGAGTCTCTGCACCTTACGAAGGTGCGCGCGTTCTTGCCGGTCTCACGGAGAGGAAAGCGGAATTTCGTGCCATGAGTGGTAAAAAACGGAAACAACGACACCGATACGATGCGATTCTATCGAAATTTCCTGTACCATTAGCCCAGTAAATCTTTCATCGTTCCTAACGAGAGAAGAGACCGAGGGGAGGAAGAAAAAAGAGAAAAAGAAAGAGAAGAGAGGAGAGAGAGAGAGAGAGAGAGAGAGAGAGAGAGAAAGGAGAGCGTGGAAAAAGCAGCGAACTCTTTAAAAACGAATTCGCAAAGTACGAGTAAGTTGCATTCTTTTCCATGTACAAGGGTCGTCTGCACGTGCAGCTGCAGTTGAAACGGGAATGTCGCACGTGTGCGACTCTACTCCGATAGCCGTATACCTCTCGGGGTCCAGGTTTCTCGTCACGCGACGCACTTCGCGCCGCATAATTTTCATCGCCATAACGATGACTTACGCTAACGGCGCTACTTTCCACGAGCAATCGATGCCCATTTTTATTAAGCTTCCATTCCATTTTACCGATCACGATCCCCGGACTCAGCGACGCGACGACTTTCGGTAAGGAAAGGTAGCAATGTCGGTTGGAATGGGCCAGTGTCGAAAGCCATTAGCGTCCGGTATTCCACGCAGATCGATATCGAATAATTTGGTCGTTGGTTAAATAACGACCGGACACGAACCCGCGGTTATAACGCCATAAGCAAACGACCACCTCTTCCTCTCTCGATCTCTTCTCTTCCACGTATATCCCTATCTATACCCACCGTTTATTCGTCTGCTTGTCCGACTGTCCGTTTAATCGTTACCTTCCTACCACCCTATCTCGATTAAAGCGAATATTTTTCTTCCCACTACCCGTCCCCTTCGTACCTCTCTCTCTCTCTCTCTTTATTACCACTCCAACGCGAAACGATACAACTGCTTATATTTCCGTTCTAATCTACGAATAGCTTCTCTTTGCGGATTACGACGGACGTTTATCCGCTGGTGTTAAATTGCTGAAAAGCAGTAATTAAACATGGCCAAGACGACTAGATTTTGACACGAGTTTCACCGAGAAATCAAGAAACGAACGCGGTAATAGACGCGCGGCTGGGTATAGGAAAGGAGGTAAGATCAACGTTGGCTGGCGCAATTACCGTTTCCGCGACACGGGGGAAACAGCGTTTCCCGCCTGACCTGAAAGCAACGTTTCGCCGCGGTCTTCGAGTTTAACGCGAAAATGCGATTTCGTTACTTTCTACGATCGTCTCGATTCGCGGCTGTAACGATCACGCAGGCTCGCGGGAGAAACGAAGCGAAACGAACTCGATAGGATGGTTACACGGGAATCTTCTCACCTGAACACTCTCTCGATCGAACGTTTAGCGCCCATTTCGGCCAGGTAGGGGGCCAAACGTTCCTCATGTCCGGTACAATCGACTATACGCGGCGATACGCGTAACATTTCGAAACATCGATTCATACCGTAATATTGATTCGCGTGTAGGGCTCTCGCGCCATCTGTCAGCAGGTCAGGACACGTTTCTTTGCGAGTCGACGACCAGCAACTTTCCGATTCACACGAACGGTTTTCCAAGCGTCGTCAACTAAACGGAGATTTCGACCAGCAACGAATTCCGAAGGAGAACTGCATCCGGACGAGCACGATCGATGAAGCGAAACTTGACGGTAACGAAAGGAATCGGGTCAGTTTGCGAGCACGATGCGATTAGAGAAAACGAAAAAACGGGAAAGCTGGGATCGAAGCGAGAAAAGCATATCGGACATACAACACTGGACCTCGTTGTTTCGTTGCCACTCGTCTTTGCCTCTCTCTCCCCCCCCCCTCTCTCCCCCCCTCTCTCTCTCTCTCTCCCTCTCTCTCTCTCAATATATATATATATATATGTGTGTGTATATATATATATATATTCATTCGCGTACTCTCGGGGGCGGAGACCGCAGAGTATTGATTTCACCCCCTTCGTGTACCCCCAGTCGTTTCCGTTCCCCAACCGAACAGTCCCACTACCTGGTCATCGGGGTCGAGACTCGAAATCGCGATAGCAGTAACAGCTCCGTCAGAAGACGACGATTCGTTCGAAACGATCACACGCATGGATCATCGCGACCGTGAAAAAGAATTCGACGATCTTGCAAGGGAAACTTGAAAACCGCGATCCATAAGATGGATCATGGAGCATTCCATCGAGAGCTCGTATTCGCTCGCGCGCGCGCATCGAAACGAAGAAGAACGCGGGAACGAGAGACGAGAATGAAAACAAAGGGGTAGAGAAAATTAAAGAGAACTTTGGAGAGAGTGAAAGAGAGAGAGAGAAAGAGCGAGAGAGAGAGAGAGAGAGAAAGAGAGAGGAAGAGGGAAGAAAAGAAGGGACGGGCGCGTGCGCGCGCTCGTTACGAATTCGTGACGAAGGGTTACCTTTGGTTCGGAAGCGGAAGTCTTCAGTTTCTTGGGAGGTGGAGGACTGGCTGCGGTATCCATGGCGTCGTCGGACGTCGTCGTGATCGGAGGTCCGGTACCGGGTACCGCGGCCAGTTTGGTCTGCTCGGGTTTGGCAGCCGGACCGGCGGCGGTCGCGCTAGCCGGACTCGGGGGTGGACACGGTACCGCGGCGGAGCTAGTCGGCGGACCGGGCCCTTGGGACACCGAGAATCCCGTCCGCGAGCTCGGCGGCGGTCCCTGACTCTGCTGAGGGGCGGTCGCGGCCGCCGGCGGTCCCTGAGATTGCGCGACCGCACCGGCCCCGGCCCCGGCTCCGATCCCGACTCCGGCCCCTACCAACCCTGGCCCGGATCCTGGACCCGATCCTGGCCCATTCGACGTCTGGCCCTGGCCGCCACCGGCGTTGCTGCCGCCACCGACGCCGTTGCCTCCGCTGGAACCACCGCCGCTACCGACGCCGACGCCGCTACCACCGCCGCCACCGCCACCACCGGCACCGCCGCCACCCGGCCTCGTGGTCCCGTTCATCTCCGACTTGCTTTGTTGTACCACCGCGTGATTGCTCTGCGGCTTCTCGTGCTTGTCCCGTGCTTTGTCCCGACGGTGTCCGCTCGAGCCCCTCTTCGACCCGGTGGTCGAAGAGGTCGCGTTCCCGGTTCCACCGGCGGAACCGGCCGAGTGGCTCGGTTTCGATTTGTTCGACGACGACGACTGACCACCGGTACCACTGCCACCACCAGCACCGTTACCACCACCGGTACCTCCGCCGCCGGCTCCGGGGCCGGCGACGCCACCAGTTCCACCGGTACCGACGCCACAACCGGCGGCACTACCGCTACCGACACCGCCACCGGTGCCGCCGCCAGCACCGCCACCGCCGCTACAACCACCACCACCACCGACACCACCACCACCACCACTACTGCCACCGACACCGACACCTGCACCACCGGCGGCGCCGGTCCCACCGGTTCCACCCGTCGCGCAGTCCGAGTTCTGAGCGTTCTGACCGACCACCGACGAGCCGATCGACGACGAGGAATTACCGCCTCCGGAGCCCGCGGACGAACCACTCGAGGCTATCGAACCGCCACCCCCGTTTCCACTCTCCTGAGACGACATCGTTCCGTTGATTTCGTTCGATTTCACGATTTCGTGTTTCGCCTCGCTGCTCTTCGTGCCCGGTTTCGTGCGTTTGATCTTCATTTTCAGTCCTTTGTCGACGGTGGCCGAGTGTTCAACGGCCATTTTGCCGGGATTACCAGGATTTCCGTGCGCGGCGTTAACGCTACTTACCACCGCGTTACTCTGTTTACTAGCCGACCCAGTTACGATGATACCGCCGGAACCGTTCACGTTCCCGGTACCGTTGCTACCGACGCTATTCGCAATGCTTCCGTTCCCGTTACCGGGACTGTTCGATCGTCCGTTCGAGTTCAGCACGCAGGCAGAAGTCACCGACGACAAGGTGGACGACGACGAAGCCGACGAGGTCGAACACGAGGACGAGGACGACGACGACGACGACGACGATGAAGAGGATGAAGACGACGACGACGACGACGACGACGATAATGACGAGGATAACGACGAAGAAGAAGATACGGAAGAGTTCGAAGACGACGACGACGAGGACGAGTTTGACGATTGACCGCAACCGTTGGGACTTGTCGTGGCGATCAAGTTGGACGAGTTCAATCCGTTCGTCGAGTTCTGCAGTTGATGATGATGGTGATGGTGATGATGATGATTCGCGTTATTCGATGCCGATGCTGCCGAGGCAGGCGTAGAAGCCATGCCTGTCCCTGAACTCAATTTCTCGTCCCTCGTCTTCTCAATGTCCGCATCAAGGTCGATTATCAAATCTCCTATTCCGATGTCCCATTCGTTGTCGTCGTACTCGAAGTTATTGGTCGCATTCGACGCGGCCGGATCCAGCTCATCGGTGTTCGCAGCCACCGTGCTTGTTTTAGGCTCGCGCTGTTGTCCCGATGACGACGACGACGACGACGACGACGATCTCTCTCGACCTTGATGATGATGATGGTGATGATGATGATAATGATGATAATGGTGATGATGATGGTGATGATGCTTATGCTCTCGATGATCTTTCGCCGCTAACCCGCGTTCCTGTTTTCTCGACGAGTGTCCACCTTTCGTCGCTACGCTCGTTTCTCCGTTCGTTACCGCCGCTGTCGTTCCTATCGACGACGACGGCGACAACGACGACGATGACGACAACGACGACGACGAGGACGACGACAATGACAACGACGACGACGAAACTGCTGTCGTTGTTGTCGCCGAAGATGTTGCCGCTGTTGCTGCTACTGCTACCCCTGTTGTTGTTGTTGTTGTTGTTGTTGTTGTAGTTGTTTCCGCCTCCTCCTCCTCCTCCTCCTCCTCCGCCTCCTCCGCCTCCTCCGACGTTACAGCCAACGATACGTCCGCCGTTGTGTTTACCGCCGCCGATGCCGCTAGCGCCGTTGCTACCGTTGCGATGTCCGTGATTGTTCCCGACGTTACCACCAACGAAACTGATGCCGCCGTTGTTGCTGCTGCTGCTGTTGTTGTTGTTGTTGTTGTTGTTGTTATTGTTGTTGTTGTTGCCGCACTCGATCGTACAACCGGTTTTTCCGTTGCTATCCACGTAGTTACCACCGTTGATACCGCCGCTGCTATCGTAGTTACCGCTACGATGACCAAGGTGATTATTGTTCTTATTCGTGTGGTGATTGTTGTTGTTGTTGTTGTGGTTGCTGGTGTTGTTGTTGTTATTGTTGCAACCGCCGCCGCTGTTTCCGTGGTGACTGTTCTTGATAGCGTTGTTCCTGCCTCCGTTGTTGTTACCGTTGCCACCGCTGTTGTTGTTGTTGTTATTGTTGCCGTTACCGATGCCGTAATTTACGCTATTGCCACCACCACCACCGATAAACGGAGATGGTCCTTTGCGGTTTACGTTAGGGAGGCGACCGCCTAGTGGCGTGGTCGCCATGCCCTTTGAAACGTTTCCCCGGTGCCCGCCAGCCTGATCACCAACTGCCCGCCTGTTCTCACCGATTCCAAACAATGGCACCACGCGCAACACGCGTCCGTTTTACCCCGACCACCGCCCACGAGACGCGCCACGTTCATCGAACACATCACTTATCGTCTCGCGGCTACCCTCCAACACCGATATTCCCGATACTTTGGATCCGCCTTCGCTCTTTTCCGATCTTTTCTCTCCTCTCCCGAGCTTTTCCTCCTTCTCTCCGCCTCCTCTTCCTTCTTTTCGCCCCTCTTTATCTCTATCTCTCTCTCTCTCTCTCTCTCTCTATCTCTCCCTCTTTTTTTCCCCCTCGAGACCTCTAATCAATCCTAATCCTTCTCTCGCGCTCTTTGCTTTGCCCTCCCAAAGTAACCGCCGCGGTTCCCTCTTTTACCCTTCTACCTCTCGTTCGCTCGCTCGCTCGTTCGCTCTCTCTCTCTTTCTTTCTTTCTTTCTCTCTCCCTCTCTCTCTCTCTCTCTCTCTCTCGATCGTTTCCTTACGCGGTCACGCGTCGCTTACCGGTTTCCACCAATTCCCGCGATCTCGTCACGGGAGACACGCGCCAATTTCTTTTCCCTCTTTTCGCCCTCTCCAACTGAATCTTTCTCCGGCTCGCGCTATTCTTTTCTTCTTTGCCTCCTCTGTCTGCTGCTTTTTCTTCTTCTTCTTCTTCTTCTTCTTCTTCTTCTTCTTCTTCTTCTTCTTCTTCTTACGACTCGCCGCTCTATTTCTCTCTCCCTCTCCTATCGTTGATTCCTTCTTTCTTACCCTTCCCTTTCTTTTCCCTTCTTTTTTTCACCACCTTAGTATTTCTCTTGATCTCGATAGCAACCGCTCACCTCGGTGATCCTCGACGTATCGCCTTCTCCCGTTGTCCGTTACTCGTCGTTGTCGTTATCGTTGTCGTCGTCGTCGTCGACCTGCGCTCTTACGTCCCTTTATCTCGCATGTCGCTTCGATGCTCTTCCGCTCCTCCTCTGTGTTTCCACACGGTATTTTTTCCCCGAGGATCGACTACTCTACTCGATTAGACGCTCCGGACGAATCTTCCTTTGATCCTCTTACGAAGCATGAACCCGCAACGTGATTTCTCTTTCCAACTTGCCGCTAAAACGGTGACCGTACTTCCATCGTTTGCCAAAATTTTGATCTGCAATGAAAAAACAAATAGGATTCTTTGAAGCGTGTACTCTCACGATGTCTGCATCGTTTCTTTCGCGGTTCCCTTCTCGCTCTCTCCCTGCGTCTATTTATCGCGCAGCTAGTCTCCGTTTCGACGTACCTTTCGAACAAACGTTTGGGAAATGGCCAATGATCGGTCCACGTACCGCTGAACGATAAAAAAACCGGTGAAAGGAAGCCATGAAAGAGACACAGCGATACGAACAGGCGAACGTCGCTGTTTCGGAAAGAACGGGATCGAAAAGAGATCGAGATGGAGGGAAGAGAAGGAAAAGGTACGGAGAGACGGCGTTAAAAGCGTTGAACGTCGGGCGAACGAATCGCGCGAACCCGTTTTATCATCTCGCTTTTCTACTCCTCCTCTTCCGCCTCCTCTCTCTACAGTCCGTGTTCCCATCGAGCGCCGTTGTCAACGTCGTTGCTCCTGATCGTCGTTCCATGCCCACAAATTGATATTCCCACTTAGAGAGGAATTCGTGTCAGGGAACGATTAATTTTACCGGCGGCATTTGGCGGTGATCCAATCACACCCCGGTACCCTCCGCCGTCCTTCGTCCCGTCGTCAATGTTGGCGACGCGATCAACCGCGTGAGAGTCGCAGAGGTATTCGTCAAGCCCCACCGCCTTCCTCCTACCACCCACTCCTTCTTCCGCGCGTCTTCTACTTTCTCCGTTTCCCGCGTATTAGCTTTACTTTACGACCGCCTTCTTACTCCAGTCGTGTCCTAATCTCGCACGGTAAACTCTGCTCTCTCCCGAGATTTTTACCAATTTACCCCAAACGCGAAAAACCGACGAAACGAAACGCCTCCGAACGCTGCGACGTTGGTCTTTCTTTCATTTTCGCAACCTCGTCAACCTACGCTTGCAAACTTTCAAATCTCGCGCTCGTCCATCCAACGTTGCAAACCATAGACGCGATTTCTTTCGCAGAACGAAACAGAATACGGTCTCTGCAGATTCAGCAGATTCAGCAGATTCAGCAGATTCAGCAGATTCTCGATCGCCAATTCGAGAGCGTCAGACAAAGTCATTCGTTGTTTACCGTACCCCAATCGTTAGTCGCGCTGGTCTTCCCTTATTCGGATATATACAACATATATACCCCCCACCGTCTCGCCGAAACTCGCTGCGAGCCCCACCACGGCAAACCCTTGTTCCTGCTACTCCGACTGTTCCCCAATCGCTTTGTCCCTTCCGAATCGCTAGCAACGATCCTTCTCTCCCTCGTACGACACAACGTTCATTCGAGTAACGGATAGAATGAATTGCGAACTGGTTTTCATTGAGTATCCAGGCAAGAGAGCCGATGGATCGTTCTCGTGCGCGTATCGTGTAACTTCCTCGTAAAAAGCGTGCGAGCTCGTTTACCTACGGTTTCAGCCGACGTTTCCACGCGCGTCTACACACGGTTCCAAGAGAATCGTTATTCGTCGCCAGACGTACGCTCCCATCGGTCCCCGACCGTTTCGTACCAAATTATTCTCCGTGCGACAAATTATACCACGCTTCGAGATACCTTTCTCCTTTCAACCAACCGTCCAACAGAGGTATTTCAGACGAAGGAAAGGAAACATAGATACAGGGGGAAGAGAGAGAGAGAGAGAGAGAGAGAGAGAGAGAGAGAAAGAGAGAGAGAGAGAGAGAGAAAGAGAGAGATAAAGGCAGAGAAAAAGTCACGATTAAAAGAGAAAAAAAAGGCGGCGAGATTGACCGGTGATTCGTCGAGATAACGCTACGCGATTCTCCATAGCGATATCCAACGATTTTAAATATAGTACTGTCAAAAACGGGTACTTTTCAGGCATACCGTTCGATTGCTCGACCATCGCGTTTCCCTAAATCCTCCATCCAACGCGACTGACCACGATTTCCCGATCACGATCGACCGACGACTCTTTTTCGTTACGACACTCTCCCGTAAAACGACCAGTACTACTCTCGATCTCTTCCGCCTCGCGTTTTGACGGAACGACGAAAGGACGCGAAAGATCGTTAGACCGACGACGATGGCAACGGCGATGGCCGTTAGAATCGGATCCTTTCCACTCCATACTCCGAATCGTTTGGAACCAGTCTAACGCTTCCGTTAGATCACTCGCCGAGTGAACCGACGACGATAACTTCCGTCGAACGAGCATCGTCGACGTATCCCCTGACTGCATCGGCTTGACCGCCCGCTTCTCACTGAATCGACCGCTTCCCCTTCCCGATCCTACTCCTCGATACACTCCGCTGCCGACGGCGACGCTACACCGCACCATCGCCACACGGCCACTGCCACCGCCATACCGCCGCCGCTACCCAATAATCCCACCATTCCAATTACCCCGTTGCGAATTATCGCTACCATTGCATCTTCCATCGATCGCGTGTCATCGCGTAATCGATTTCACCGAATCTCCAATTATATTTCTTTATATACGCTCTCTATTCATACACTATCCATATACCGATCCACTCTTTTTCCCTTTTCCTCTTTCTTTTCCTCCTTTATCCACACGCGTTTGAGGCTCTTCGTTTCCGTGCGAAAACGAAAAAGCAAACACGCGGTCGTCGCGGAAATTAACCAACCGCGAATGCGCTGTAGAAGATACGTACAAACCGCGCGGTACCCGTGTTGGAAAACGGTGTTATTTATTTAGGGTAACGCGTTAGGTGACCGTAATAGCAACGGCAGCGGCAATGGCATCAAGTATACGATAAAAGAGACAAACATGCCCGAGTGGCATCTTGTAATCGGTTAGAAGGGAACTTTGAGATCATTGCGCTTACGTAATAAACCAGTTCCGCGACGCTATACGAGAAACGTTAACCGGCATACGTAATTCGTCAATAACGAGAAACACGATTCGAACAAAGTATATACCGTTAATATCGCATACCCGATGAAAAGGCAATTCCGACTTCTCGTCGATCCGTGTCCGCGAAAACCATTCGTTATCCGCCGATTGTGACCCGGAGTCTTTAAACGCGAGTAAAACACGACTACCCGTAATTATCAATTATAGCAAGATAGATAGCAAGTAGCGTACTCGTAAGTAGCGTCGAAAAGCGATTCCACGAATAAAGAAGACGAGGAAAAGAAAGAAAGAAACGGGAAACGGGAAACGAGAAACGGGCATTCCCCGCTAGATTATATTTGATTAGTGGGATTTTCGGACATTCCAACAGACAAGAGTTTCGCCATCGATGAAAATTTTCAAAGTATTTCGTTGGTCCAAGCTCGCTCGAGCCACGAAGGCACTGGTCCGGAGAAGGGAGTGGACGAAAGAAAGGTGAAAGAAAGGTGAAAGAAAGGTGAAAGAAACGGATCATACGCTTGGCGTTGCCACGCGTTCGGGACGAGATGACGATCGTCGATATAAATTAATCGGAGTGCTCGATAGAGTCGGCTGGAAAATGGCCGAACACGCCGGGATCGATGCGACTCGCACACACAGTTGACGTTTACCGGGGTGAATCGAAGCAAAGGGTTGGCAGAGAGGGAAGGACCGGCGACGCCAGCCCCGAACCGACCAACGGCGGCGAAGCGGGGTGCGCGATGGGCACACACAGGCCTCGATGAGTCGAGGTGAGACGAAACACGGAGAGAGCCATCGCGCTTTGCTCTATCAGTGAACTCGCTCGCTCCGAAACCCACTACCGCCAGCCAGCCAGCCAGCCAGCCAGCCAGCCAGCCAGCCAGCTAGCCACCCCTATATCCCATCCACCACCGCCGTAATCTTTCCCCGTAATCTTTCGCACAATCGCCCATCTTTTACTCCGCTCTTCTCTTTCC